TCTGTTCACAGGAGTAGAACGTCTCTGGTGAGTCTGAACTGCTGAGTTGTTGGTTCGCAGCTGTAACAGGTAGGTTTATTGTGCCAACCTGGCTGATGAACACATGTGGGATTAATTGAAGGGTGGAGAGATAAATGGCTCGGTAAGCCTCGCCTTTCTTGTCTCTTGTTCTCTGATGGCCAGACCAGGCTGCAGCTGCCTTAGCCAGTTTCCTGCTTTAGCTTACAAGGCTCACTTCCTGCAAGACGTCCTGAGAAGCCACATGGACCTACCCTGATGCAGCCCTGAGTGCTGGAGAAGCCATGCAGAGACCCCTGCCAGCGCTGAGATGCTTACACACTCACTGATTCGGCGTTCCTCCTGCAGTCGGCGTTATTGCGTGTGTTTTGTGAGCTGGATGTAGATCGGTGTCGGACATAGGGGCTAATGTCGGACTGCTGGGCTCGGACTGGACTGGGTTGGGATGCTTTCTTAATGTACACTTACCTTTTATATACAACTCTCTCTCACATACATATGAGTTTCTGTGGATTTGTTTCTCTAATCTACCCAGACTAACACAGCAGCCCAGTGTGTAACCACTAAGCCACCAGAGCACTTTTCTGAGCGGCATTACGAGATTTAAGTGAGATTGAACCCGGGTAGGGCGTCCTTGAGGGAGGGATGCATAGTTTGCAACTGAAGGACTCCAGGCTCAATTCGCAAGCACCTTGGAAGAAAGGTCTGGTGACCTACTTTTTAAAAATCAGCCGCTGAAAACCCCACTGAGAATAATTCTACTCTGAAGCATCTACTCTTTGATGGCGAAGAGTTTGTTTTGTTTTGTTTTCACCTTAAAGTGGCGAATCACAGCATGGGCCATGAGGAACTCCTGATGGTGCCGAGTAAAGCAAAAACAAAACTCCCTGCCAGAGTCGGTGCCGACTCATAGCGACCCTACAGGACAGAGTGGAGTTGCCCCTGGGCATCTTTATACAGGCAAACAGCCAGCCTCATCTTTCTCCTGCGGAGGCTGGTGTGTTTGAAGCACACACACCAAATACATGTCAACTTGGCTAGGCCATGATTCTCTACGATGTAGCTACCCTGTGTTGCAAACCCTCATCTCCTCGCTGTTAATGAGGCAGGATTAGGGGTAGGGATATTAGTAAGGCAGGGTCCAGTCTACAGGATTACGTTGTACCTTGAGTCCATGTCTTTTGAGACATAAAACAGATTAAATAAGCAAGAAGAGCCCAGAGGGACCTCAGGACCATCAAGAAAGACAAGCTGTGAGTGGAGCGTGTCCTTTGGACCCAGGGTCCCTGTGCAGGGACCCTCCTCTAGACCCAGGGGCGGAGATGGGTGGAGATCTTCAAGGCACGTGGGGCCCACAGAGGTTGAAGGGAGACAAGGGCTTCGCCCTAGGTTCTGGCTTGAACAACTGGGTGGGGGAGATTGCAGCGGCTGAGATGGGTACGCTGAGAGGGGCAGGGATGAGAACGCCTGTTATAACTGGGAATTTCTAATGATCATTCTGGGCTCCGAAACAAGGGCTTCCTGAAGCAGCCACTTACCAGGCCCTGCAGGTAAGGCAGTCTGAGTGCCACAGACCAGGACTTGAGAGATGGAGGCAGCCACAGCCGACCCTCAAGGTCCCGGAGCAGAGAGGACGCACAGAGGGGAG